GCAACTTTAACTGCAGTAGGGGTGGTTAGTACAATTATGTGCGGCCCTATCCAGTTGGCTTTCAAGGAGCCTTTTTCCAGTCTTTTACCCATACCGTGCGACCAGGTTGGAACTGATGTGCCCAACTTCCTAAAGGAATGGGAGCACATTACAAAACTGTCTTATTTATCTACTTGAAGGTCCTGGCCAGTGACTGCAAGTACTGTGACATCTCTACCTCCACCACCTGTACCCCTGCAGTCTAGCTATAAGTCAGGGTGGTCTTCCATACATAATCTCAAAAGGGGAATATCTGGACGGCCCCATCATACACTAGATCCGCAGCAAAGCTAAGGGAAGCATATCTATCCAGGGTAGCCCCATCTCCTGGAAGAGCTTAGCTAATGCGGTCTTTAGGGTCCAGTTCATGCACTCTACTTTCCCTGAACTCTGTGGCCTATATGCTGTATGCAGCTTCCATCTTATCCCCAGCATTTTGGCCAGTCCTTGAATGACCTCTGCGACAAATGCTGGCCCATTGTCTGACCTTATAGCCAGAGGGAGCCTGTTTCTTGGGACCACTTCCCTTAAAAGGGCCTTTGTGACCTCTCAGGCTTGTTCAGACTATATGGGAAATGCCTCAGTCCATTAAGTGAAGATACATATCATCACCAGCAAGTACTTATAGCCTCTGCAAGACTTTACTTCAGTAAAATCCACCACCAGGTCTTTGAAGGGTGATGTCCTGACTGGCTGGACTCTGAGGGCCGGCCAGGGGTCCTTGCTTGGCATTGTTTTAGATGCAGGTCAGGCATCATGAGCTGACCTGGGCACAAAGAGAGGCCAGTTTAGGGATGAAGTAGTAGCCACTCAGCATAGTTTCTAGAGCCGTTTTTTTCCCTAGTGTGTCAGTTTGTAATATTCCCGTACTGCTTCAAGGAGCTGGAGAATTTCCTTCTTATTTTTGATTGTCTTTCCTCCTGCCGTCAACAGACCCCTAGTTTTTTCAGCAAATCTCTTTCTAGTAGGGGTACTGGACAGTCAGGCACATATTCATGAGTCACACTGTGACCCCCAAGGTGGCCAGTTCAAGGCTTGCAGAACAGCTGGTCTGCTTGTGTCCCTGTAGAACCAACAATGGTAGCCTTTCAACCTGAGAATGGAGCCACTGGGCAGATATCTACAGAATGTTCTGCCACGGTGTCCACCATAAAAGTCATAGGTTGGCTCCCTAGCACCTTGATCCCCTAGCATCCTGACCATAGGCTCCTGGGAGCCCAGGAACAGAAAGCCTGGTCATTCCTAATCTGAGTCTATCCCTGCAAGGCCAATGAGGTTCTGGAACTCCTAGTTCAACAGTTCAGGCGTGTGCACGCGCACACGCACACACGCACACACACACACACGTATTTTTTTCCCCGGTGTGTGCCTTGTCTTGGGACATTGGTTGGGGTTTCTCCCCTCTTTTTGGGTACTCATTTTTCCAATGGCCAAACTCCCTGCAGAAAGCACACTGGTTGGACTGTAGGGTGCCCGTCCTTCTCAGTGGGGGTTCTTCTTCAGTGCAGAGCTCCAGTCTGGATTGAGTGCTGCTGCCAGGAGTGCCACCTTCTGTCTCAGGCTTTTATCTGCCTCCTTCTGGGCCTCCCAGTCTTGAATAATGAATATCTTATTGGCCACCTCTAGGAGTTGCATGACATTCATCCCAGCGAAACCTTGCAGTTTTTAAGCTTGTGATGGATGTCGGCAAAGGCTGTGTTGCCCATCCATTGATTCTCAGCTGCTTTGGAATCAGATGGTGTGTAGATTCAGAAGGCCTGACATAACCTTTCATAAAACTCTGCAGATAGCTCATCAGGTTTCTGGGTCACGATGGTTGTTTTGGACATATTGGTGGGTTTCCTGGCTCCTGCTCTCAGCCCTTGGAGAAGGTCCTCTCTATATCAGCAGAGTTGATTCCTCCCCTCTTCTTCGCTGAAGTCCCAGTTCAGCACCATGTCTGGTGCAGCATCTCTTGCCCAGGTTTCAGGAGCCATGGTGGCTGTAGGAGCCTGCTGTTGCAACCAATGCCTGGTGTCAGTCAGCATGCATCACCATTCCTCAGTGCTGAAGAGGGTGAGGAGTAACTGATGACAGTCTTCCCAGGTGGGCTGATGGGAGAGGAAAATTGACTCCAAGAGACCGATGAGAGCCTGGAGCTTTCCTGAATATGACAGAGTATAATTTTTCCAATTAAAGAGGTATGTAGTTGTGAAGGGTTGGTAGTAAAAAAGCGGGTGCCCTGGCTGTACACCGCCATCTGGACTGACTTGCTGTGGGCCTCAGTTCTCCTGCAGGGGCATCTGGAGGGCTGGAACCTGTTGAGCAGAGCAGACTCATCACCCAACTGGTTCAGGACTTTAGGATCTCTGGACTTTCTGCTGACGACATCGGTGGGGCTGATGGAACTGACACTGGGGGGCTGTCTGGCAAAGGGTGCTTGGGACCAACCATTCTCAAAGGAGTAGGGTATGGTGGAGACAAGAACTCTTCATCTGAGTCCACTTAATATATAGGTTCTTTTGTTTCTTGCTCTTTGTGCTCTGACTTCCAGACTGTATGTACAGCAAGGACCTTACTCTTTCCCTTATGAACACAGAACCAGACCCAGGGTGACAGAGTCATAGCTATAGTAAACCAGGTATTTATGTATAGAAACTGGTCCGGGTGCCCTGGTTCCCCTGTAAGGACCTCATAAACTGCTCGAAACTTTGACAGGTCTAGTGTCCCTTCCAGAGGCCACCCAATACCAAAGGAGGGCCATTCTAATTCACACAAGGTTCGGAGTTTCCCAGGAGTCATTTTGACTCTGTACTCCCTAGAGCAACCCTTTTGAAAGTTCTTTAACATACATTCAAGGACAGTAGGTTTTGTTTGTCCTGTGTCTAATTCTGGCCTCTCGTTCCTGCCTCAGGCATTTATGCCACAAATGGCATTGGTGCAAGGATTGGAAGGCTCATTCAGATTACCGGTACTCAACTAAATGTCTACCCAAGCAAACAAAGAGAAAAGAGGAGCAGTGGGGTCCAGTTTAACCTAGTCCCAATCAGTGGGGCCAACCCATTCTGCTGACACAGTAATTGATACAGGCAGTTCTCCCCACTGCAGTTGGCACAAAGAAGACAAGTACCGTCTAGATTTAAATAAGAGAAACAAAGCATTGCCTTGTCAAAATCTAGGCTGGGGACTCCAGAAGAGGCTTATCAGCAGGAGAGACATGGGAGCAAAATAGTCCCAGTGGCCGCTTGCCTCGTGCAGATAAAGTCTTCTTTGGAGTCCAAAGCTTTCCAATTTTTGCCAGGGATTAAATTAGGGCTCTTGGATTCCAAAGTCATAGAAATGAACAATGTACCCAGCAGTAAAGCAAGCAACACTTTATTGAAAGAGGAAATAGACTAAAGCAAAAAGGGTGGGTTCTAAGTGGCTCAGTGGGGGCTTCACCCCTGGGGATGTATGGAACTCATGCAC